CCTTCCGCAAGGTTGACCACCATGAGCCCTAGACATGCCAAGCAGAGCATTTTGCTCGGCTACACGGATGTGACCTGAGTCCGGCTGCGAACTTTGTGAGCCCGAGCTGAATTGTTTTTTATGTTTCCCATGTTTTGCTAATCCCTCGAATGATGAAAACGCAGAAGACATGCTTTCTCCTATTTCGTTTTGAACTTTCTAACTACTGGTAAAGTCTTTTAATACTTCATCTTCTGCGAGACTATCTCTCAAAATTGTTTGAGCTTGGGCCGTTCTCAAGCAGAAAAGCCAAGCAACAGCTGTGCAGGCTGTTGCTGCAACACTCTGCCAACTTCTGCCACTCAGCACATCACCGCGAACAGCATTTGCCCCTGGAGTCCTGAGGCGACAGCTCAAATTGATACAGGTCCGGTTTAGGGTTTAGGGTTTAGGGTTTAGGGTTTAGGGTTTAGGGTTTAGTGTCAACGGCTTGTGGATTCGGAGACAAACACAGAAGGTCACAGCTTCAGGATTTAAGGTTTCGACTTGAGGGGGTCATGCGAGGGGGCAGGGGGGTGAATGCCAGGAGGTCTGTAACCTTTTTTTCTCCCCAGATCTCCAAACCCCTGAACCTTTCGAAGCCAAATCCCCAAATCCCCTGAACCCTTCAACCCCTCAACAAAAAAAGCAGAAAGCTGAAACCTACGAGGCGGCCTCCGGACCTGGCTTTGTCAGCCTCAGGCATCAGGACCGAACCTGAGCTTCTTACCGGCTTAGGATCTAGGTCCATGGTGGTTTTACCGAGCCTCACTGCGCAGGCTGTGTGCGCTGCTGTTGGGTGGATGTACTTCGTTGTTCGCATCGTTCTGCTGGTTCTCTTCGCTTTATTCCGCTCACATTGTTCTTGCTTCTTGTGGGTGGCAGGGGCAGTTCATTTCGACTGGTGCTCGCTTTTGTTGCGCAGCTGGGCAGGATCTGCTTGCCTCCCTCCGTGGATGTGCTTACTCACTACTTGAAGCAGCGCATGATTGACTGGAGTGAGAGACTGAACATCCCTCTGAGCAATAAGCAGCATCCAAGCATGCTGGCATGCTGCAGTTCGTGCTTGTTTCGGGTACCGGGGTGTAGCGGGGTGCAACGGGTAATTACCGCTCAAAATGGGTTGTATGCGACATTCGGCGAAGATCCGGGTGCCTCGGCACCGCCGTCAAGAAAAGGAGTTGTGCTGCGAACAACGCCTGCAGCCAGCACCACACCAGAACGATGAAGTCTCGGTCTCGGTGCTGTGAGCATCAGTTTGTCCTCTTAACGAAAGACGTATACATACCTCATGTCTCGATAAAGCTCTATATATATGTATATATATATATATTATACATGGGGAAGACAGGCTGAATTACCTGTTGTAAATTGTTTGATGCTGATGACGATGATGCTAGCGATGGTGGCAACCATGATGGCAACGACCATGCTAATCACGATGATAGCTATAGCAACTATGATGCTGACGATGCTGGTGATCACCATCATGATGACCACGATGATAGCGATGATGATAACAACGAGGATGATAGCCACGACGACTACAGCCATGATAATAACGATGGTGATGACGACGAAGAGAAGGGTGGTGATGACGATGATGATGACGACGATGCTAACGACGATCATAGCGATGATGATAGCGACGATGCTAACTTGCAGCGACGAAGGCGCGATCTGCAAAAGGTTGCTTCGCACGGATTTTTTGCACAGGCTTCATCGCCTAACAAACTTGCCCCGTCCTTCAAAATCATCGGCCCCACCTGCGTTTCAGAGTTCTGCCGTAGCACTGCTTTGTTGTCCGACTTCACGGAGTAAGTTCAGGGTGGCTTTTGTGGGGGGGCTGTTTGTCCCACGATCCCCCAGCCTGTCTCTACATCCAGGCAGATTTCCCATTTCTGCGCAGATGTTCCTTTTCTGCGCCCCGTGTGAGAGCAAGGTTGCTGAGCTTGCGGCCCATGGGCCCATGTACACAATCAGCTCAAGAAGAATTCGGCTGCAGATCCGGTTCTGGCGAGCTCCACATATCGATGCAAAAGATCCGTCTGGGACAGGAGCCGCTCCTGTTGCCTGGCCAGGGCTAACGGCTTGTTGCTGAGCCCTTTGCTTGTCTTCAGCCAGGCAGCGGTGCGTAGGAGAAGTGGACGGCGAGGCTTCGCCCAACTGCGCAGGCGTGGCCGCCCGTGCGCTCCGCGTGGTTTCCACCAAACTCCTCCTCGTCATCTCCAGGCCCGTGCACACGGGACCAGTCCTTGTCATCACTTCCCGACAACAAGAAGCCAAGAATCATCAAGAATCTGAAGCTGCATCATGATTCCCATCAAGGCACCACTCCAAGCAGATCTGAAGCCTCCAGCGCGAACCTCGGCTTCGAATGAATCCTGCTGGGACACTGGGACATTCCTTCCACCGCCCAGCAGCAAATTTATGCTCCATCTGGCCCCCGACGCATGCCAAGTCTGTCCCGACCAAGGCGAAAAGTGGACGTACTGGTGCTCCCGGAAGCCTGCCCTGCACGCATCTTTTTGCGGCTGCAAGCAGGGAACCGTAACTTCGGGGATACTTCGGGCCTGTGAAAATCGAACCAGCCAAAGTCGAAAGCGCATAGGGTTCCATCACGTTCCCTATCCAAAAAGCCTCCCAGCGGATGGTCTCAGCAAACAGGACTGCGGGGAAAAAGGTGTTCACGAGTCGCGGAAAAGTCCAAGTCACTCTCGTGCACCAAGGCAGCGCAGTCCCAGCGCTTGAAAACGCAAGAGCCCATCGGGTGCCGCTCAAACACATAGGATGCGTCCATGTTGACATCTGCCACACCTCGCCCAAAACATGGAAAAGTCCCGGGCAGGCAACGGGAGGCAGGGAATCGAGCACACACGCAGGCAGACAGACACAGACAGATAGACGGCCAGGCAGGCAGGCAGGCAGTCAGGCAGGCAGGCAGTCAGGCAGGTGGTTGGGCAGACCGACAGACAAACAAACACAAACACAAACATAAACACAAACACACACACACACACACACACTTTCACTTCTTGCCTTCCTGCCTTCCTGCCTTCCTCTCCCCCCTACTCCACTCTATGACTCCTATGAAACCAGGTCAGGCGTCGGATCCAAGCACTGGAAGATGACTGCTTACCAGTGTCCGCGTCCAGGTGCCCTGGCTCAAAACCACGGTGAGCCCCGTCCTCTTGGTGAACTGCTGAAAGGATGGCATGGTTCACCACCTTACAAGATGGACCGCTGCTTATTTCAACTGCGAATTGCCCGACGGCCGTTCAAAGCTGGCGATGCGTAGACTCCAGCCTATGTAAAGCCTCCGTCCGGCTCGTTCAAGCCAGATCCGACATCACACCCAACACGCAGCACAGGCGCATTGGCTGATACGAACATGCAACGGCGCCGCAGCTTCTCGCGCACCAGCTCAGCAATGGCATGCCTCGCCAAGAACACGATGTCGTCATCAACCTGGTCCCCATCTGAGGCGCGCAATGGTGCGGAGCAAACAGCCAACAACAACAACAACCACAACA